CAGCAGGAAGGTCGTCAGGAGTCTGAGAAAAGAGCGCTAGGTTTGCATTTGTAACTGGTTTAGAGGGATGCTGATGGGAATCACCCGTGTTAGTGTGTTGCGACTGCGTGTGCGGGAACGGCCTATCTGGAGCTGGTGGCGTGAAAGTTGTATTCGATGACGAGTTCATTGTCGCCGGCGAGGCCTTGTCCGACCCTGAAACCTGCTGATCACCAGCACTGATGTCAGGCGAAATATCCATGTCTAGACCTGTCCATAGTCCATTTTCGTCGGTGCGCGGACTTGGATTGCCAGACGATGAATTGAGCCCTTGTGGGTGACAACATGCTCTGCTGTGACCACTATTCGAACTGGAGCGCTGGCTTTCCGATTGTTTCTGCCGGCTAGGAAGGGAACCAAAGGTCTGCGAACCTCCCTGGCTGTAGGGCGATCCCGTGATGTTGAGAGCATTCGTGCCCTGTAACGGATTCTCGGTCCCGACACCACTCGACTGCTGCTGGCGTATGGTTAGTAGTAAAGGCGAACAATTGACATTATCACACTGGACGTTGGCCTAATGAAGCCCTGTCAGAACCTGCATTCATGAAGGGTGCTATTCCAGGTGATTTACGTACCATTCGTTTGTCCCGACATGGGTTGAGACTCTTGGCAAAATCCGCCGCAAGATCCGTGCCAGACAGATCAACATCCAATTGAATCAGAAACGATTCAGTTAGCGTGCTGTAGGACTTAAGGGCGTTCAGAGCAGTAAGAAGAAACTGGAGAGACGATCGAACAGTCTGGTCCTCGGGACGAGACTTGAGATATTGCACAAAAACACGAGCGGCAACGTAAAGACAGAAGGCGCTGAAAGGGTTCATCTACGAGTCGTCAGTCGCTTGAAGAGCGAACCGTTTCCCAGAGATGGTCAGAAACCTACCACTGACAGATCCGTATGGCTGACCATTTTCATTATGCTGGCGATCTGGTCCGCTGCAATGATACACCTCCTTTTGCTTTCCGCGGCGATCTGATTTTGTATTCGATTCTTTTCCGCCTTGAATATGGCCGCCTGATGCAAGCAGATTGTTGATGTATGGATGCTCATGTTGCAGAAGACTGTGTTGGGGTCCCCAATCCCGTTTGGCAATCGAAGATGACTTGGTAACGACAGAGAGATGTTGAGGAGGATATTATCGTAAGCTCGATGACGTTTCCAGAACTCGCCATTGAGATCGTGTTCTTTGTCCTGGGGATCAGGCCGATGCAAGTGCATAAGATTCCGTCCGAAGAGGCATGCCATCATAACCACGCCAGCTAAAGGCGACAACGATTGAATTCCTTCACCCGCCATGACTTCAGACAGTGTCATAGTCTGCTCAGGTTTGCCGGAGATGAATGCTTCCTCGCTGGAGGGTAAATTTGTCATGATCTACGACATCCTAAATCAGTAACGGGGAAAAAGGCACATTTTTGGAGATAAGCATTGGCATACATCTCTCTCGTCGAAAGTCATCGGCCAGCCCGTCCCAATGCTGGCATATCGATCCTCACAAAAAGCCATCCAGAACGTGCGTCTTCGTTCTTCCCTTTCAGTCCAGTCTCGAGGCGGTGGGATAGACTGTTTTACATCGAGACCCACGCCGTCCAGCCGGTTCAGACTCATCATTGACGCAAGCCTCCCCGCTCTTCCGGTGCTTATCCACGCTCGGGGAAAGAACATCTGCTTGAACTCATACAACGCAATAAGAAGCCAGCATTGACAGTGTGCAACGCTGACTATATTCTCTCCATGGCCCTTCATTTCATCCATCTCGATGTATTTGCGCGCGCGCGCATAGAAATGTTCCTGCAGGAAAGAATACTTGGGGGTGATCGAGGCTGCCAAACACCACATGATGTAGCGCAGGCATACCGGAGGACGCATATTGGGAGCTAAGTCCATAGCAGCGTAATATCGTGGGCGATGTATCATTGGAATCGAAGGATGGATCTTTTTGAAATATATGTCGTTCCTTTAATTTGACGATCAGTCAGTAACTGGAATTCAAAATATCATAATCAACTGAACAACGTACAGTTCATCTGTAACATCTTTGGGTGGTAATGGCTCCTCTAACCCGAGACTGATCATCTCCCAGGAGAAGTCTCCATCCAGCCCCAGATCAGTAGCAGGAAACCCTGCTTGGCTCTGCTGCGTCTGTTCGAAACTTGCGCCAAGTGGTGCATTGTGGCTATTGAGATTGTTTGATAGCGACGAGAGATCTGGGATTCCTTGAAATGGATCACTTGGTATAGGGGTCGTATAGGTGTTGTTCTGTTCGGGCTGTTGTGGTTGTTGCGTGGTCGGGTTCCGCGATGCTTCTCTCTCCTGATTTCTCAAGAGAGTCTCTACCTGCGCTGAATTGAGGACAAGGATCAACAATCAATTTCAATCCGTAAATATTGGTGCCATCCATATGAATGGCCATAAGAATGACATACCTAACCTAGCTTCAAGCTGCTTTACATATCCCCGCTTCGGGCCGCTCTTCTTGCGTACCTCGTCATATGCACAATTGTGCCCCAGTCGGGAGCAAGTACCACAACTGGGTTTCTTTCCGTCGCATCTCAGCTTTCTCTTCCTGCAGACGACACAGGCAATGCGCTTCGGTCGAGGGACGTAGCTGTTGTCATCTTCGTTCTGGGAAGTACTGCCAGCAGCAGGACCGGCTTGGGACTGCGATGTGTTCTGTGCCGGAGGTTGCTGAGATAAGTCATTGAAGTACCCATCTTCTGGACCTGCCATGGTCTGCGAAGACAGGCCTGCCGTTCGACCGGACGAGAGAAGGAGATTATGCTCTGTCGAAATCAGATGACGTTGCGGCGCAGCTGTAAAGTCTTATCGAAGAGCAATGCGCGGAGGAACATCCCAAGCTCTCAGCAGGACCCAATGTGCTTGGCCTGAGCACGAAAGACCACTCATTCAGAATCACTAAAAAACCCGATTATGTTGACTTGAGGCCTGTAATCTATTTAACTGAGCAAGACACGAAATCGCTGCGCCGCTGTTGGTCGTCAATTAATGCTGCCTAAGGCGGTCCAAATGCGACCCCGTTTCAGGTTCCTTCTTGCTGACCAAGACCGTAGCCGGAAAGATCGCGCAACTATCTGACATTCACAAAGCCCAGAAGGTAGAGACTGCTATTGTATCCAGATCAGCAATCGTAAGTCATGGCCAGCAACAATGCTGAGCAGTTCTTTCGCATCTTGGGCATAGACCAATTGCATGCTTAGTCAGTGACAGCCACGTTCCGCTTACACATCAGGCGGCATCTAAGTTATCGCTGACCACTCATAGCGCCGGATGGCTCACTGTCCCCAGTTACCTAGATTGGGTGGTCTGGCAAATTTTCCTCTCATCGTCGAAGAAAACCCCCAGAATCGTGGCCGTGTAGCGCTTACCAAGTCCTTCTCTCACTGAGACCTACGCAGGATTCCAGAATGATCCACTATAATTAGTCGAAGAGAAAAGGGAAAAGTTAAAAACGTCGCCAAAGCGCCAGAATAGGAGCAGTAATATGCAGCTGAACGGGGTTGGCATTAGAGCTCAAGTTTATTCAGGGTTATCATGTTAAGTTCCCGATAACATAAACTCTTTTATCGCTCTTGGGTGCTTGACTAGTTATACAACATGTTAATAAACTGGAATAGATGTGAAACATGAACTGGAAGCTCCCGGAAGAATCCTAACGCAAGGAGAAACAAATCGATTCGGAGCCGCATCGGTCTTCAAAAGCAAACGAAATATGGTACATGAGAAGGCGACAGTCAATGCTCTTGTTGACACATGACAAGGGTGGTGAAAATCAGTCAAGACTACTGCGGAGCATTCAGAGAACGATATGATGGGCGAGGGCAGGGTAACACATGAGAAATCCGAAGCAATAGTATCCACTTCAGTTGTAACCTCTGCGACGTTTGCCCTGGTTTCGTTCTCGTGGGACAACCACGGCCTTGTTGATCTTCCACTTCGGGCGAGTCTTGTAACCAGATTTGGTCTACAGAAATTGTCTTTCGTTAGCAAAACAGAAAGAATGGATGGACAACCCGGACAAAGACTTCGAATTTAGAGTGATGCGTATACATACCGGCATACCCCAAGGGCTCTTGGGATGGACATTTCCCTTGGATTTACCTCGTCCACCACCATGGGGATGGTCGCAAGCGTTCATGGCCACACCACGGACTGTCGGCCGGATATTAAGCCAACGGGCCCGTCCGGCTTTTCCGAGCTGCCTATATTGGTAATTGGGGTTGCTGGCGATTCCAATCGTTGCGCAGCAATCCTTGTGAATCAGTCGGACCTCACCACTTTGGAGTCGAATCGTAACGTGCTCGGCGAGGCGCTCCATCTTCTGCCTCTCACGCTGGGACAGCGGCTTCTGCTCCGTCTCAGCGCCATTCTCAGCCTGATTCTGCTGGTCTAGGATCTTCTGTTGTTCGGTGCCCTTGGCAATGACAGTTGCAAAAGTCCCCGCAGCTCGACAAAGCTGACCACCCTTTCCTGGGCGTAGTCCAACATTAAATATCAGCGTTCCCACCGGGATCATATGCAAGGGCAGACAATTTCCTCTCCACGCTGTCCGCGCCGCCAGAACACCGGGGTCAACCTGTCCACCCATGCTCTTCCACAGATCTTCGGGAATGCCAGACATGTAGCTCTGGACAACATCGCCGGCTCTCATGCCATCTGCAGCCAGGATGTAGCTGAGTTTGCCCGTTTCTTGACTTCTCACCAAAGCGATGTGCGCCGACCGATTTGGATCATGCTCGATCCGTTCCACCACGTGAGGGCCCGGGGCCCGTCGGGCAAAGTCGACGATTCGAATCCTTCGCTTGTGACCACCACCACGGTGTCGAACAGTGATCCGACCAGTGTTGTTGCGGCCACCTTTCGACTGGCCTCGTTTGGGAAACGTCAACTTATATACAGGGCGCCCCTTCCAGAGATGGTCATTGATGGGTCTCCGCAGATGTCTGACACCAGGCGTCCGAGGTGTATATTTCTGTACAAGCACACCGGCATCATCTCGTGTAGGCGGAGGTGCGAAAGCGATGCCGGGATCGAAGGAAGACGAGGACGACTCCTCGGCCTTAGGGGCCTCCACCTTAGGGACCTCCGCCTTAGGGACCTCCACCTCCTGGCTGGCCGTCACATAAGCCCGAGAAGAAAGATAAGGAATGCATCGGTACGGGAGCCGCAGGCTCCTGAGAAAGAGCCGAGGTTGCAACATGTCGAACACGGCTCACAATCCGTCTCGGGAGATGGAGAGAGCCGTTCTGAACAAGCTCACAAAGTCAACAGGGCGGCCAAGAGCGTATCTGGCTTACACCATAGCCCACCGGAGACCCCAGTGGCTCCTTTAATGGCGTAGCACAGCGTCGGGCCTCAATTGGCGTCGAGCGGTAGATACATGCAGAGCAAGCTCTCCGTCTTGCCCACGAAAAAGTGCACGCTCCGACCCGGTCGGGATGTGGCTGGTAGATCACATGATATTCATGCACCGCCATATGATGACTAATTATGTGGCTTGAAAGGAGTCGTACACGTCGCGGCGACACGTGACGGACTCGCCAAGCCCGGGTCACGGCGAGACTCGACTCGCGCCCGGCAAGGAACACGCGGGTTGCCGGGCAACGGCGTTGTTTTGCTCCCCACAGGCGCGCTTCTCGCAGCACACACGCCCGTCCCTCGCATCGCCCGGCCGCGGTGACGCCCAACGCCCTCTGCTGGTACGCAAAAACCCTGCACGACGCCGGGCTCAAAAGGACCCTGCGACAGCCTCGCCTCCTGCCACCACCGCAAGCAATTTGCCCTCTCCTGACTTCTTCTTTTTGCCCTCCGCGTCGTCTGGCGTTTGTTCTTAATCTCCCTCCCTCCAGTCGACCCTTCAATTGCTGCCTCTCTCAGTTTCATCGCATCCTCGCCCTTCCATTTCTTTCCAAGACAGTGAGTGTTCCGTTCTGTTACTGTATCCGGTTCGACCGTTCGGCAGGCTGCCACTGGACGCGATCTGCTGGCGGCCTTGTTCGTGGGGCATCGCTGACGCCGGGTTCCACGCTAAGACAGGGCCAAACATCGCCCTGGCAATTCGACTCTGATTTCACACGAACATCATCACATCACGCCCTACCAACACCCTCTCCAATTCTTCCTTCATGCCTGTACATCCTTCCTGCATCTCGTAGCTAGCACTCCTACGTGGACAGATCTCTTATTTCTTCGGCCAAAGTCGCGTTTTTGGGTTAGTTCTCGCGCTCTTCCAACGGCGTGCACGGTGTCTACCAGACCTTCTGTCAACGTCAACAAACCCACCAACTCGTCCATGCTCTAAGAGTCGACGGCCACATCCCTTCATCACACCCAGCCCCCCTTTCCAAAAGCTGTCGAATCCATTGAGTCTCGCTCGAGTCGGCTGCGTTCAACGTGTGGTAGGTTTTTAGCCACTTAATTCTGTTGTATTTCTTCCAAGGTTTCCATAGCTAATGGAATGCAGCACATATCGTTCTGACGACACCTAGTAATAGCCTGAACATCTGTCGCATTCTGCTCTTCTCTACATTTTCCCTTCCTCTCTCCCCCTTTTGACGCGTCTTTCAACCACTGACGGTTGACCATCATGCCTCCGGTAAGCCTTCGACGTCCCCCCTATCATTGTCGCGTCATGCTTTGTCCATGTCCTTATTGACTGTATACACTTCAGGCACGGAGTCTCCGGCAACGTGCCACCACGAATGAGAATGACGAAAATGGCCCATCGACACGTCTGACAAGAGCCAAGGCCGCGGCTCTCAGTGCAGCCGACGCGTCTAACGCTGCTACGAAAAAGCCTCTTCAGAGCAAGAAATCATCCAATGCAGTCGCCAATACTGCTCAGAGGAGACGGCCAGCCCTCGGCGATGTCAGCAACGTGGCTAAAACGGAGACGGTCGACGCTAAAGATGGGAAGAAGCCGGCTGCCAAAGTTGGTTTGACGTCCAAGGCTACTGCCCAAGCGGGTGGCGTCCAGAAACTCACCCGCACCAACTCGTCGCGAACAGCATTGGGAGTCAAGGATAACAATAGCAAGAAAGCGGTGGCTGAGACCAAGAAGCCTGAGAATGGTTCAGGGGTCGGCAGCGCGATGAAGCGATCCTCTAGCCAGAAGTCGGCTAAGGAGGAAGCGTTCCACAATGAAGAACCCCCTCGCAAGAAAGTTGACATCGAAAAGGAAAAGAAGACAACAACAGAGAACGAAGAGCAGACCATCAAAGAAGAAGAGGCAGCCGTGGAGCCCGCGAAAATCAAGGAGACCATGGATAATGCGGTTGCCGACCTGGACGCGGAAGACCTTGATGACCCTCTCATGGCCGCCGAGTACGTGGTCGAAATCTTTGATTATCTTAGAGAACTGGAGTTGGAGACGCTGCCGAACCCAGATTACATTGAACACCAACCCGACCTCGAATGGAAGATGCGTGGCATTCTGGTCGATTGGCTCATCGAGGTTCACACGCGTTTCCGTCTCCTTCCCGAGACGCTCTTCTTGGCTGTCAACATCATTGACCGCTTTCTCTCCGCTGAGGTCGTTGCTCTTGACCGGCTACAGCTTGTCGGAGTCACTGCTATGTTTATCGCATCCAAATACGAAGAGGTCCTCTCCCCTCACGTGGTCAACTTCAGCCACGTTGCCGACGACGCCTTTACAGATAAGGAGATCCTCGAAGCGGAACGGCACGTTCTTGCTACTTTGGACTACAATATGAGCTTCCCTAACCCGATGAACTTCCTCCGCCGGATCTCTAAGGCCGACAATTATGACATCCAGACGCGAACTCTAGGCAAATATCTTATGGAGATCAGCCTGTTGGACCATCGGTTTATGGTATACCGCCAGAGCCACGTGGCTGCAGCTGCCATGTATTTGGCACGGCTGATCTTGGACCGAGGGCCCTGGGTGAGTTTCATCAGGGATCATTATAGCTGACTAGTTCTTTGACTGAACTGACGTTGATACAGGACGCCACTCTTACCCATTATTCTGGCTATACGGAGGAGGAGATTGATCCGGTCTTCCGATTGATGATCGACTATCTGCACCGCCCGGTCGCCCACGAAGCATTCTTCAAGAAATATGCAAGCAAGAAGTTCCTCAAAGGTAGACTAGCGTGTGACAACCTCCATGCTTTGGGATTTTTCATGCTGACTTTCTTGCAGCTTCTATCGTTACTCGACAGTGGGCCAAGAAGTACCACTCATTGTATATCAAGAGCGCGCTTAACGAAAGCTATAATCAGGTCTCCAGCCGATAGAATATAAGTCAATGTCTTCTTGATCTTCGAGAGGTCATTCCAACCAGTGGATGCCACTCGGTTTGGGCCCTCAGGGCTGGTCGGCGCTATACGGATCGGATTGACTTCATTTACGTCTGCCTGCTCGCATTTCTTTGTTTCTTCGGGTGCTGGTGGATAGGGCCTATTGCATTTTACGATGGTATTAGTATTTCGTTTGTGATTGTCCTTTTTCCATACTGGCATTTGGTTCTCGTTCTACCCCTGGTGTCGGCGTACGCGTGTTTATTTGATCCCCTTGTTACCTTCCCCGGTTTGTTGGCTTTGAGGAATTTGTTTTACTTTTTTTGTCTTTGTGTTTCTATTTTTCTTGCCCTCGTCCGTATTTGCAGGCGTCGGATGTCTCAGGGTCGGGAATATACTATTTCTTTCTGCTGTGGCTTTTATCTTGGCTTTGATGATTTCCTACCTGCTGGGACTATCAGGACTTGATTACCACTTGCGCAGCCGTTTATCTTTTTGCTTTTCGCTTCTTTTCACGAAAATTCGCTACGCAAGACCTCTCACATAGAGGATGGGCTATATGCTGCACCTCAGGGGGCATACATAACAGGGACGAGGAATGTGTCTGGTGCGAACACCACATTCACCACGGAGTATAACAAAAAGCGCGAGAAAGATATGGTCTAAAGACATGTTTAATTTGTACCGATCGAGGAGTCGTGAGTTGTGCTTTGGAGTGATTTTGGCCGGTCGGATTGGTTTTGCACTGATTACCTGTGTTTTAATCGGAGTTGTAAATAGCTGGTTTTGGGAAATTCAGGCGTATTACTCAATTAAATAATTCTGTCCTTGTCCACTCGACATTAGATGCGGTGGTTTGCCATGACGAAACGAGACCTCGGCTGAGAGATGTACGGTGACTTAGCGTATTTGCTGATAGCCGAAATCGACATCAATCATCAGTTCATTTTCAACCATCATCCCAAATTCACATAGTCAAGTCCATCTTAATTTTATCATTGAAAGAAGTTGGAGTTATTTAGGGGGGTTTTGTTTTCAACCTCTATTGTACAGCACGGCCAGGAAATCGTTATCGCTGATGTGCAGGGTCCATTGAAGAGCAGTCGCAATCAAGGTATGTACTCACCTTACATGCAATCATCCATCATATTCCCATCAGTTACCTTGCTCATAACACAGTGAAAGGTTCGATTAAAAAAAATCCAAACAAAAAAAATAAGGAAGACGAGACAAAAGTCATTCGTTTGAGATCTTAGACGCTCCGAAAGTCAGCTAAATACTTACCTACAGAGTACAGTACATAAAGAGACATACATAGATACCTTCAAGGGTCTTCGACGATGGCCAGTCACCGTCCTGGGCAGGAAAAGAAATCATTGTCATCATCACTCAAAACCGCTCCAGTTCACCTTCCTCCTCCTCCTTCTCCGTCCTGTCCTTTCTGTGGCATTGCTTCAGCCTATCCACCCGTTCGACCCACTTCATCAGCAGCAGCAGCAAGAGCATTACAGCGAGATGCAAATGCAGATGCAAATGCAGAAGCAAGACCACGAGCCCACCTCATCCTCTCAACGAAACATGTCCTCGCCTTTCTGGACATTATGCCCCTGACGAAAGGCCATGTTCTGCTCGTTACGAGAGGTCACTGGGAGAAGTTGGGAGATGTGGGTGTGGAAGTTGGGAAAGAGGTAAGTAAAAAATTACACGTCGAACATATTTGTGCAGTCTATATAGTTCAGTATGATTTCTCAAGGAAGGATGCCTTGCCTTGCTTTGCTTTGCTTTTGAATGCCAAGTAGGTAAATAAATACCTCGGCATTCTAGCTAACTGACTGCTGTCTGCCTGTCTAGCTAGGAAAATGGCTACTGGTGATCTCTCGGGTTGTCACCAGGACTGTCCTGGGAAGGGATCAGGAGGCGCATTGGAATGTAGTTCAGAATAATGGTGAGTCTCCGTCTTTGTCTCTCTTTCTTTCTCTTTTTCTTTTCTACCTCTTTATCTCACACACCATCGTAATACGCAATTCAGGCACACGAGCCGCCCAAGTCGTACCCCATATCCACTTCCATATCATTCCCAGACCAGCAGACAATGCCTCCTCTAGTAGTAGTAATACCACTGCTGCTGCCAGATCCCCAAGCTGGACGATGTTCGGCCGCGGACAGAGGGAAGAGCTAGACGATGAGGAAGGGGAAAAACTCGCGCGGTTGATGCGGGAAGAGCTAGCCAGGGAAGTGAAGCGTATCAAGGACGAGGAGGGGATAGATCTTGATCTTGACGACGATAATGACAATAATGGTGATTATCGTAATGTTCGTGATGTGAATGGGACGGTGACGACAAAAGGGAGGGGTTTGGAGAAGTTGTAGCAAGAAATGCAACTTGAATTTTCTGATGTATCTATGTACATACTATTGTAGTGCATCTCCGAGATATACCAATATTGACCTGAAATATCGAAGTTTTTTTTTCTTTGGTAGTAGCCATTCGTCATCATTGATCGTCATCTGTTATTTCCCGTCTTGACCTGACGGTCCATCATGCCCTGTCTCTGCCAAATTCAATGAGTTCAATTCAGAGGTCGGAGGTTCTTCCCCTTTCCCCTCCTCTGTGCCTTTGCTCGTGCTCGTGCTCGTGCCTGCTCCTGCTTCTGCTCCCGTTCCCGTTTCTGTTCCTGTGTTATGCTTCTTGGGTTGCTTGGACTTTTTAATCTCGAAGTACTAAATGTATCAGATTAGTAGGTAGGTCGACAGCTAGATGAGTGCGCCTTTCGTACCTTTCTCCTAAATTCGTTCAACTCGTCGGCCGTCACTCCGCTGGGATCGTCTGTCTTCTGGCGTGCTCTCGTTGTGGATGAGACTTTGCCCTCTGGCAGTTTCTCGTAGGTTAGGAGGCGTCGGGACCCTGCATGAAGTCAAAAAGCATTACATGTTAGTAGTCTTCGCGTAAGGACTCATGTATTTTTCAAGGCGAGTAGCAGGAGAGGGGTAGAGGGCTTACAGTTGTAGAAATGTTGCACACTGACGCTGACCACTTCCAATCTTGGATGAGTTGGAATCTCCAATTCTATATCTTCGTCGTTGGAGGTGGGCATCCACATGGATAGTCGTCCTCCTTGGACCAGGGTGCGAGCGGCAAAGTCCAAGATGTCCCTCAGCATCGCTTCGAAGCCGTATGGCTTCTTGGGAGCAACGTAACCGGGGAGACTGCAGTAATTAGATAATTAGTCTAGATGTATATGTCTTAAAAAAAATTGCAACTTACTAATGAGCTGGTACTCCATCGATGATAACCTCTTCTTTACCCCGTCCGTCTCGAGTTCCCAGCACCTTCAATCCCTCCCGCACCCCATAAGGAGGATCGCAGATGATTCCGTCCAGAAACGGGACACTGCGAATAGGAGTGTTGGTCAGATCGGACGTGAAGGTGTCCACAAACTTGCTCTCAAGGCCATATTGCTGCAGATTCGCAACCAGCCCTATTGGCTTCCCCTTGCGAATCTCCTCCTTACCCCGGAAGCTCCTCCCGTCGATGTCAGAACCCAGAGTCATCGCCCCGAAGTGCGCAGCGGCCACGCAGAAGCTTCCCGTGCCGACGAAGGGGTCATAAAATATCTTGCCTGGAGCAGCCAGAGCCATGTTGGCCGTGATCAGGCTCAATTCGGCATCCATTGAGGTCGTGCTGATATAGCGCCGCTTCTTGAGATCGTACTTATTCACCATGTCCCGGCTTCCATGCGCCAGCCACCGCCCGAAGTAGATCTTCTTGGGCTCTTGTGGCTCAGTGGGCGGGATGGGACCGGGCAACGACGGGTCCTCCAGGGCTTCGACATCCCAGAGGAACTCCTCGAGAACCCAAAAGTCCTCCTCTGGGTTCTTCATCCGGATGGGACCCTGGAAACCCAGGTAGGCGAACGACTGGATGATGGCCCTTTTCTCGTCAAGGCTCCGCTTCCAAGCGAAGGAATCCACTGTGAAACGGAAAGACACGTTCCTGTATTTCTCCCACCGGTCGCTAGTCCGCCTGCGGACCTCGGCGTGGAGTTCTTCATAATTTGTGCCTTGGGCCCAGAGTTCAATTATGTCTTTCCCTAGAATGCTGCGCGCGATGAGGGCACGCGCCGCGGCCTCATCTTTCAGTCTGACAATGCAATATGGTGACTATGTATACGTTAGACGCAATCTGGTAAAAAACTTTGATATTGTGCCGAGACGGTTTTAAGGAAAGGGAAATAAAAAAATAAACTGTAGAGGGTTAGCTACGTACATATTTGTTGTAGAAGACAAACTCGACGTCGATCCCCGCCAGCTTCGCCAGCGCCTCGATCTCCGGCCGCCGGAATGTCTCGTGCGCTTGAGCAAAGCGGATCAGATACTCCATTCTGACTGTGAAAGCTGCGGCATCTGGCTGCTGATTCTTCTTCTTCTTCTTCTTCTTCTTCTTGGACAGGCGTCGGTATTTCTTTTCGAAATTTGAGCTTTGTTCGGTATAAGTTGGGTTTTCTCTACGGTGTGAGGAATTCGGAGTTTTTTGTCTCGGGAAAGATCAAGGTATATTTTTTTCGCATTCAACGGTACGCTTCGCGACCTGCGGGGAGAAGATGAACAACCAACATCATCAAATTCCAAATTTTCATGCGACACCACACTTAATCATTAACATGCCGCATCGATAGAATTTTTGATATGGACCCAAGAAAATACCAAAGAAAATACGAAATCCTTTATTCATGCCTATCATGATGACACAAGATATTGCATATTCGAGGGTAGATCTATGATCTATCAACAGCTCGATACATGTCTATTGTTCCCCTCAAACACAACAGAATTACAGACCACAATACTCATAATCAACTATCATGACAAGCCGTATCCCATACGCCATCCCAAATTATGCCCTTTGGAGAGCTGCAAATGCCAGAACGCCACGCTATGAATTTACAACCTTGAAGGTGTATCGTGACTCGTATCCCTCTTCTCGAACAACCTCGACCTTTTGATCACTGGGTATCATTTCATGTTTCAATTCCCATCCGGCCCTGCGACAGAGCTCGGAGACAACCACATCGCAGTCTCCCAGCAAATCGATGTCAAAACCGATGTGCGACACGGGCTGACAGATGTCAGTGGCACTGCGTAAAAAAATAGATACGCCGCAATAAACTCACAGTGCGCGAAATGTAAAGCTGAGGCACATTGCTTGGCATGATAGCAGGCACATCCGCAACAGGTGCCACTTTGAGTGACGTCCCGATCACGATGACCAGGTCTGCGATGTCCCGATCATGGTGGATCAAGCGACGCCCAAACTCGTCAGGCAGATCCTCTCCGAAGAAGGTAATGTCGGGCTATATGTATGATTAGTAAAGGGAGTCCCATCTTCAACCAGGGCTTGTACCAACCTTCATGACACCAGGGGTTGGAATTTCATATTCCTCCTCATTGGAACTGTCTTGGTCATCCTTCTTACGGTCTTTTTGCAGACCGTTAGAGCTGCGTTTTCGCTTCATGCCTTCAGGCCTCGATGCAATCTCCTCTTTGCAACGTTTACATTCGGGTACTTTGCCCTTTCGGACAGTGTCAAAGATGGTCTCCCCCGGCACTTGGTATTTGCACTTGGTGCAGGTAGCTGTTGCGAAGGAGCCATGACACTGGACGATCTTCTCGGGCAGGACGCCTGCATTCGCCTCGATGTTGTCGATATTTTGGGTATAGTTAGTCAGCAGTTCCCTTTATCTTGCAACAAACGGATGAAGGCATGGGTGGGTGAGAATTTCTTTTCCGTTGGAAGAATATCCTTCGCGATGGAAAAGAAGATGCTTGGGTCTTCACGAAAGAGGCGGATATCAAAAACTTCCTGAGGGTCGCTGAGACCCAAATGTTCCAATCTAGAATACAATCCTGTATCCTTAGATCGAAAATCAGGAATTCCTAGACTGGTCGAGATCTGAAGAAAAGAAATCCAATTAGCACACGAGTGTCCCGCGCTTGAGGACGGGATCTCTGGTCGTGTTGCTATACATACCCCAGCGCCAGTAATGACAATTATGTTCTTCGATTTCTTGAGCAGTTCAACAGCATCCTCAATCGTATTATACTCAGGAAGTTTCTGACGCTTTGCATACTCCCGTGAAATCGCAAGAGCAAGGAGAGGGTGAAACGCCTCGTCAGGCGCGTCCTCAAGGAAAGGAGGAGGGACGATGCCAAAGGCAGTACAGAGCTTCCTCGCCGTAATGGTGCCCCGACCGATTGTCTCCTCTACAAAAGCTACCTTGCCAATCTCTCGCAAGCGCTTTCGATAAGCCGCAGCTTCTTCAGGGGTGCACGCATCAGGGACTAAACAGTGTCAACGACTGTAATAACGGTGGCGGGGGAAGGCGCACATACCTGAGGAAAGCTGGTCGTCGCGTGCGAGATGCAAGGCCTCTTCATAGAGAGAATCTCCCTCCCACTCCTCTCCGGAGCTATCACTGCTCTCAGCCTCATCTTGAGAGGGTGGAACTTCATCCTCTGGTGGTTCTTCGGGATGCACAGTCGCCTCCTGATCTCCAGAGTCGCTGCCAGCCACGTCGACTTCCACCAGCGGCTTCTTCAACGAGCTCTCCATTTCTCGCGCTGGCGCTAAATCCATGCTGAAAAGAAAGACGGGGACACTCTACAGCGCCCTGAAATACCAGCGGCAGCTCACATTGGCGTTTGTCGCGACTTCCCGATTACATGAACGCGCAAGTGCAGGCTGTCTCCGAGCACGGGGCTTCGGTTAATCCGTTACCCGTCTGCGCCAATCGCGATTGGAGGATGGCAAAAGTATATACAGTTGTGGCAACGAGGACTATAGAAACGTCTACAATGATATACCCATCAGCTGAGGTAAAGGAATAGACGTCTTACAGAAGCGCTGTAAAAGGATAACACACATGCACTATTTACTGGTATCATAATAACTCCATATCTGAACAGTTCCAACAAAACCATCATGTAGCCTTTCATCATGAATCCTTCATTTCATGATCTTCATCCTCGTCTTCATCAGAACCAACTTCGATCTCATCTTCCCATTCGTCATCATCGCCTGCACCTGGACCATCGTCTTCGGAGTCACCGTCGTCCTCCATGTCTTCGCCAAGCTCATTGTTCAGCTCTTGTATCAGTTCGACTGCATGGTCTCTGAGTCTCTCGTCCTCGTATTCAATCTTTTTGTAGAGCTTCAGGCTTTGCTTCAGCCATTCGCGGCTGGCGACCATGGCCTCGTGCCGCTTGTCACTAGATGGTTGCCCAGAATCTGTAGATGCCGTCGGCTGTTCCTTTTCCTTCTCCGCCAGGAGATAGAGACACCATCCACCAAGATACCACGCTTCAACACTTTCGTCGTCCTCGAGAATCAGACGTTCCAGCACCTCAAGTGCCTCGTTCTCCATCTGTACCTCCATCAAAAGTCGCGAGAGACTTATTCGTGCAGGGAAATCGGGAACGTTGGGATCCTCTGGAGGCAAGTCTTTCCAAAGTTCCAGACTTCTGGAAAGCGCCGCCCGAGCATCATCTGGACGCAATTGGGATATCCTGACAGAGGCGAGAGTTTGTAGACATTCGGGGGAATTGGGGGCGACAAGGAGTGCTTCTGTGACAAGAGCCTCGCATCTGCTCTCAGCGTCCTCTTCCCATCTAGCCGTTGTGTTAGTGAGGTCCTTGCGCCAATCTTCAACTGTATCCATGCAACTTACGAAAGATCTGTCATGTATATCTCCACCACTGCGCAAAGAGCATTCGCCAATTTCTTCCTTTTTTCCTCGAGTAATACCGCATCTTCGGGGTTGTTACTTTGCTCCAAAGACTGGATGATGCGTCTCAGAGTAGCGACACCTTTCTCATACCACCTAACGCTGTCAACCCCTCCCTGTTCGCTCAACTGCGCCAGCCACAGAAACTTCTCTGCGCCTCCCCCTTCAGATTCAGGTATCATGCCTTCTGGATCGAGTTCCACCGCGCGCAAGAAGTTCTGTCGTGCGGCATCTATTTCGCCTAGTTCAACGTAGATTTCACCGATCAAATTCGTAGCAGATCGAGCATTCGGTGAATCCGCTGGGGCGAGCTCGAGGACGCGCTGAGCCAAGGGAAGAGCAGCCTCAGCCTGTCCCGTTTGAAGGAGGATGGTCGCCTTTTCAAGGAGCTCTGAAGCGTTTTCGGCCATTTTTCGTTTCGAGACGACACCGCCGACACCGTTGAGAACAGACTTTTCGTGCTTGGACGATTTCTTCTTGTGCGGTTTTGTTTTTCCCATTATATGTGACCCCGATATTGTTTAAAAAGAGCCTAAAATTTATTTTCAATCAAAATCCAGAGTATTCATGGCCCGATGCTGAAATTGCAATTGAGACTGTGCAATTTCATCTGCGCTGATGATTTCCAATTTTTGGAACATTTTCGACCGATGTTTGCGGTGTTTGCATGCGGGACAGCACTTTCGGCCTTGCGAACAAACCAAGGATTACAGCTGATCACATCAAAATTCTGTTAATAAGAGACTGGGTCTTTGTTCATATCAAAATATTTGGACATTAATCCTACACCACGAGGGGTGTTTTTCAGTTCTACTGTGGAAGAAACATTGATCGCTTTCTCTCGCTTGGCCCCTCCATTTTGCGGGCGGGGACATAAAACATGGGTCGCGAGGAACAAATCGAGGAACGCGAGGTCCTCAATTCTATTTTTCCAGATGAGATAACAGGTTCGCTTTTAATTTTCCGGACGGTTTTATTGATTAAGTTTCTTGTTGGAGACTCATCATCTGACTGTTGTGATTGATTGATTCTTAGACATATCTGACACGTCCTACCGGATATCGATAAAACTCGATGCATCGGATCAGAATGGGGGCGACGGGGAAGAAGCGCCGACTTTGATTTTACAAGTCTCCTACCCTGAAGCATACCCGGATGTCGCTCCGAATCTTGAGATTTTGGCTCCTCCCAATGCTCCTAAACATCCCCATCTTGATATCCAGGAGGACCGTACCCATTTCCTAGAAGCGCTACAGCCTACCATCGAGGAGAACATTGGCATGGCTATGATATTCACACTCGTCAGCACTCTCAAGGAGACTGCCGAAAATCTGATATCGGAACGGGTAGCTGCCGCAGAGGCGGAGCGGGAAAGGGAGATCCTCAAGGCCGAGGAGGAAGAAAACCGCAAATTCCAAGGAACTCCAGTGACTAGAGAGACTTTCCTCGAATGGAGGGAAAGATTCAGGAAGGAAATGGAAGAGGAAGAGCGGCGAAAACGGGAGGAGAAAGAAGCAGAGGAGAAAAAGAAAAAGCCTGCCGCACGCGAAGAGCCGAGGCTCACTGGGAAACAGCTGTGGGAGAGAGGATTGGCCGGAAAGGGCGATTATGATGAAGAAGGAGATGAGGATATCCCTGTTGATAAGTTGAAAATAGCGGCATAATTGGTAATTGCAGTCTTATAGAAATACTGTGATCTTGCATATACAGCCAGTCCTACATATTGACCATTGTGTTTATGAGGGAATGCGCGTTTCATGCTCATATTCGATCTTTTGTTGACGTCATGTGTTATTCTAGATGATGTTCTCTCTCGGTCCCTTCGCCATGATAGACGAATGCCATCATTTCAGCATACTGTGAGATCAACACCTCAGTCGGGTAGGCTTTGCTAAGAGCTCCACCCTCATACTTGCTGGTCCTGGAAGGCGATGGTTGAAAGGGTTAGATAAGTATCAGACTATCCCAACCGACCTGTAAAACCCTGCGCGCCAAAAGTACAGGCAGGGTTTTAATAGCATCCTTAGCATTCGATGGGAGCTGAGGATGCGAGATCTTTGTAGAACTATGCAGGACCAAGTAGACTTTGCCTTTTTTTTTCTCTCCATGACCTTTTCATCAGAATCATTGAACACGGTTTTCGGAATTCGCTGTGGGTATCTTATTGAGGTTCTTTTCGTCAGAAGGTGATTTGTTGTCCCCAACAGTAGCCTCTTGACGCTGTCGTTCTTCGGCTTCTCTCTTCTTTCTCTCAGCTTCCTCCTTTTCAGCCAGCTCTTTTTCGGCAAGAACGATCTTCCACATCTTCTCGGCGAGTTCCTTGGCTTTCTTATCGCTTTCGGAAATTTTCGAAAGGACATCTTGGATAGATTCCACGACTGCATCTGCCCATGACGGTGACTCCGCCTCCTCGTCTGCCACCAAGCTGTCCCAATAGTCTTCGTCCTTCGCAAATAGCTTTTCGATTTCTAGCCTGTCGCGACGTTCAATCCATGCCCATCTTCTTTCAAGCTTGTTCCTGATGACTCTGCTTAAGTTCTGGGGTTGCGGCTTCTTTATACGCAGGAAGGGAATGCCGCGAGCATTCACAAGAACAGGCACTCGTCGTCGGCCGGAGACCACGGGTCGGGGACGAGAGAGTATCGGTTCAGCATTTGGATGCCGGAGAGCTGTTGCATCTTGCTGCCGTCTTGATTCTTCCTTTTTTCGTTCTATCTTAGAAAGCGGCTTTATCGGTCGGGCCTCTGCCAGCGTTCGTTGTTCGGAGCTGTTCTTGTCTCTTAGAGCTTTGGACTCTGCAAGGAGCGCAGAGATACGACCAACGTCTTTTTGATTCCCTTGTGAGGCAGAATGCAGCAAATCTAAGGCCTTTCGTTGCCTGTCAGCCTGCGGCGTACGTGATCTCAATTAACACTGCATACTTCGTAGCCGGCTTTAAGAGCATTGACAGTCTGAGAAGGACTTTGAAGAGTCTTATACCGGCGAAACTTCTTTCGCACAAGGTGGTTTATTGTCCCAGAGTTGGGAATAGTCGGGGGCAATCTGGCACATTGTCGGAGAAGTGCTCGATAAAGGGAAAGGCCTTGAGATGACAATCACAAGTTAGCCTTAACCTTGGGGAATTGCTCCAAGTTGCTTACATGCAAAGCGATGAATGCCGGAGCGTTTAGGGACTATTACCCTATGCATTTGAATGGAATAGAGGGTCCAGGCAGATGCCTCTCAAAGTTCACATTATTCACAAGGTACTCCATAGCTCCGTCGAAAGCGTTGCAGTTTGCCAATGGATTATCATCACGTGATCTTATCGCGCTTTTACATCAGTACTGGCATAATAGGTCAATCAAAAGAAAAAAGGAAATGATTAGCTCCACGAGATGGAGAGTATATTCTTCCTTTAATTTGTTTTTCAGAACCTACAGCTAAAGGACTAGGGTTCAAAAACAAAGCACGCTTATGCTTTCCGGAAATGCATGGACAGTACAATGGTCTAAAAACCAGAAAAAAGCAATCCCAACCCCCAGGCCAATACTCCAGTCAGTCATTCATCATCCGAGCTCATATCAAACGGAATGGTTCAGAAGGTCGAGCCTTCCGGCGGCTGTGGAAGTTTCTTGTGTTGCGGCAGGGCCATGTACCTGGAAGAAAGAAGCTTAGACGAGAGTGCAAGCAGAGAAGAAGCGGGCGGCAGTACCTCCGAAGTTCAAGAAGGATGGTCTCCATTGTGTAGTCCCTCTTCCATTGCGCGAGGCAGGGCAGCTTCGTCGGGTCAACCTAGCATAAACTCAGCATCTGTTTCCTTTAGAGGTACTTGCATGTTGTGGACCATACCTTTCCAGTCCGCGGGTCCACGCACGGGAGGTTTATCTTCGACACAAAGTGCAAAGTCGGAGGGTTATCGGGGTAGTCATCACCGCAGTGGATATTGACACTGTATATCCGATTCTCGTGCACGCTCTGTCCATTCATAAGTCAATCACACGTGACGAAGGGCAGCAAAAGAATATAGATGGACACACATGAGGAGGCCCCAGAATGGTCCCATTCCAGTTGGTCATCATCAAATCGTCTCCATCAGCAAGACCGTATGAGCATGCCTCTTATGAGCAAAAAACGCCAGGTCAGCCTCTAGTAGCTCCCGCAAAGATCGGGCGTATACTGACCCGCTCCTTGACCTTTCTCTCCTTTCTCGAGCTCCTCCAGGAGCCTGAAATTCCGCGGGACCTTGGCACTCATTCTGCGTAAGGATATGTGCGCAAAACAGATGAGCGGCTGGGGTTTTGGATCCCGTTCTTGGGAGGAGGTCCCGGTTGTATTGCAGACAGAAGAGGGGCAGCAATTCCGCAGGGCACGTATCCCACTTGGCGGCCTCTTT